ACAGTCACACCACCACTCGCTGTTTTAGTCGCCTTGACGACCTGTTTCATCTTCGCTTCGGTCCGTCATCCGACCTCCCCGACTGGCTCAGCTTACTCTGTAGGGGTGTTCAGGTCTTTGATATGGACATGGATGAGATTAGCTCTCTGTGTATGTTCTGCATGTCGATGACTCTCGTGTGATTGGTCCAGCTTACCCCGTGTTCCCTTGTGTAGGTGTGCCTAGCTTAGACTCCTCTGCTGTGTCAGGCATAGGATCCCTTGCTTTGTTTAGTCTAGGCTCCTCCGTCGCTTCCTCGACCTCTCCCGCCTCTGCTGCGCTCTCCTTCACCCTGGACTCTGGCGCTTCCCGATGCTTCTTCCGGGACTCCACTACCCTCGCGCCGCTTGCTGCTTCCGCCGCAGTTTCCTCGCTGACCCTTCCCCAGGCCCCTGTCGTAGCTCGTAGCTCCACTACCCTTCCCTGTCCGGCGACTCCATCGGGCTCCCTTACAGGCCTGCACATCCCCTCGTTCTCCAGGAAACCTAGTTGGTGTCCGGCTGCCTCCAGGACCTTGGCGTCACCACTACGTTTCCTGGTCACGAGCGGTACGCTGTCTGTACCGAGGCCGCAACTGGTGCTCCCCTCACCACGTTCCCTCGGGACCCGGTGTCCAGCCTGTTCACGCTAAACACCGCGCCCCCCCCAGTTGGGGCATCTCCCCAGGTGACCGTGTCTCCTCAGGTAGCTACGGCTTGCTCGTGTCGGTCGCTTACTCACCTGACACTTCTGTGGCACCACCGTCTAAGTCACCCCGCGCTCCCACGTCTGCGTCACACATCTCAGCACGGTCTTGTCCTAGGTCTCCCATAGTCGTTCACCGAGTTGCCCTCCTCCCCAGCGCCGCCGTGCACGCCCTGCGTCGAGGGCCGGCACCGCCGTGCCCCTCACTCCTCCTCGTTCCCCCCCACCACCGCACCGCTGCAGGCCTTGCATATGGACGTCTGGGGCCCTGGCCCCGTCCATGGGCCGCGTCGAGAGCGCTACTTCCTCGTGCTTGTCGACGACTACACGTGCTACACCACGGTTTTTCCCCTTGAGTGGAAGGCCGACGTGCCTGACCTTCTTATCCCGTGGTTGGTCTCTGCGCGTCTGCACCGCGGTCTCCCTGTCTTGCGTCTTCACTCAGACCGTGGTGGCGAGTTTGCCTCCGGCGTCCTTGGTCCTTTCTCTCGTGCGGAGGGCATCACCCAGACGTTCACCTTGCCAGACTCCCCAGAGCAGAATGGGGTCGCTGAGCGACGCATCGGTTTGGTCATGGAGGTGTCTCTTACCTCCATGATCCATGCTGGTGCACCCCATTTTCTATGGTCGTTCGCGCCGTTCACCTACGTTGCTCACCAGCTTAAACCTGTGGCCACACCCCCACGAGCTGCAGGTTTCGGCCGACCCTTCTTTGGACCGGGGTCCCCTGGTGACGCGTTTCCGTTCCCACGTTTGGTGCTGCCTTGCTCACGTTCGTGCCTCTGGCACGGACAAGCTCACTGCCCGCACAGTCCCCTGTGTCTTCCCCAGTTTCCCCCTCGACTCGTCTGACTGGCACTTCTACCACCCGCCGTCTCACCGCTTCTTTCACTCTCGCGACGTCACCTTTGACGAGTCCGTCTCTTTCTACCACCGCTTTCCTTGCCGTGGTCACCCAGTTACTCCCCCCCTGTTCCTGGTTCCCCCTTCCCCGGTCGCCGCTGCTCCCCCCCCCCCCGCCTGCCCCGTCTGGTGTGTCTCACGTCACCCCCCTCCCGTCGGTTGTCCCGGTCGAGGAGGCTGCTGACACTAGTGGCCCTGCGGCGTAGTCCTCGCCCCCCGCTCCTCCCCCTAGTCTCCCCTCCGTCGTGCAGCAGCCGTTGTCGCAGCCAGCTGCCGCCGCCGGCAGCCCGTCGTCGTAGCCGCAGGCGCCGCAGCCGTCGTCGTAGCCGCAGGCGCCGCAGCCGTCGTCGCAGCCGTAGAAGCAGCAGTTCATCGACCCTAGGGGTGCTGGCGTTGAGGAGGGTGCTCGTCCTGGGGTTCCTGTCGTGGCTTGTCCCGGCGGGCTTGGGGGTGTACCGGTGCTGGAGAGGTTCCTGGTTCTCGGCGAGCTGGAGTGGAGTGTTCCGGAGTTGGCCGTGGAGCAGCTGGCGGTCCCCGGTATCGGCCGTCGTGTCGCCGCAGCAGCAGTCGCCGTCGGGTGTCAGCCCTTTGCCTGCTTGGCCTTCCCGTCCCTGACCGCGCATCTGTGCCTCCTCCACCATCTGCTCCTCTTCCTGTCTACGACCCCGTGTTCCCTTCTCCCGACTCGTCTCTAGCTCATCTTCCCCCGCGTTCTGCTCCAGTGTCTCCTCCTCTGTCTCCTGACCCGACTCTTCTGTCTCACGTCCGGTCCCGCCATCCTACTCGTGCCGTCCTGTCTCTCTTGTTCCGCCGCTCTCACCCTATGTTGCTCCGTTCCCACGCGTCTCGTCCTCCACTCCTGCCGTTGCCTCCTCCGCCTCCCTTGTTGCCGCTCCCCCCCCCTCTGTCTGACTACCTTCGTGCAGCTCGTCCTCTTGTTCCTCGGTTCCTTGCCTCTCTTGTTATCGACCCGTCTGTTCCTGTTTTGCGTCTTGACGCTCGTGTCGCTGCCGTCCGCTGACTTCACCTCTACCCGCCGCCTTGACTACAACCACTGCTCTGGTCTCTAACCCTGCTCGTCCTCCGTCCGTCGGGGGTGCTCCTGCCTCGGCAATGACGTCTTGGAGGAGCGGCAGTACGAGCTTGCTTTCCTGTCCGAGGCTGCTCCCCATCTCTGTACCATTCTGCTAGTCCCTGAGGGTGACCCAGACGCTTTCGATATCCCGACCCCTCGCACCTACGCCGAGGCCATCTCGGGACCCTGGGCCTCTCAGTGGATAGGTGCCATGGAGCAGCAGATGGCATCTTGGAGACCCACCGGCACCTACGTCGACGCAGTTCCCCCACCTGGGGTGAACGTAGTCGATGGCCGGTGGCTCTTCAAGGTGAAGCGCCCCCCTGGAGAGGCGCCTGTGTTCACGGCGTGCTACGTGGCTAGAGGCTTCAGTGAGCGAGAGGGGGTGGACTTCTTTCAGACCTTCGCCCCGACCCCAAAGATGACTACTCTTCCGGCGCTGCCACACGTAGCAGCACAGCGTGATTACGAGTTACACTCCCTCGACTTCTCCTCTGCATTTCTTCAGGGCAGCGCGCACCATCACTCTCACCCAGTCACACTTGGTGTGCCAGGTCCTTCAGAGGTTTGGTCTTCAGTTCTCCTCCGCACAGCCCACCCCTCTGGGAGTAGATTACAGGCTCTCTGCTCCAGTTCTTGAGGAGTCAGTAGAGCCCTGTGGTCCTTACGCAGAGTTAGTGGGTTGCCTCACGTACTTGATGACTTGCACTCGTCCAAATCTCGCATACCCTCTCAGCATCCTGGCTCGCTTTGTGGCCACGGTCAAACACCGACCACAGCACTGGTCAGCTGCTAAGAGGGATTTGCGTTTTCTAGCGAGTACATCGGGCATGGGGCCAGTGTCAGGAGGATGCAGGCGAGTTGTCCTTACTTGGCACACAGGCGCTTCTTGGGCAGACGATGCTCCCAGGTCCTTCCATGGCTACTGCTTTAGCCTTGGTTCGGATGCCATCTCGTGGAGGTCCACTCGCTCCTCGTCTGTTGCAAGCTGTGAGGCTGAGATCTACGCCGGTGCCATGGCGGCACAGGAGCTGTGCTGGCTGACCTTCTTACTCGCCGACTTAGGTGAGCAGCCTAGCTCTTCCCTGGTCCAATACGCTGACAACAGGGCCATGATCCTCCTGTGTTAGGAACCTCAACTTGAGAGCAGAGCAAAGCATATCTAGCTGTGGTACTTCCTCCTGCATGAACTACAGCAGCACTGCCAGGCCCGCGTAGTACACTTGGTCTCGGGTGCCAACACAACGGATATCCTCACTAAGGCACTTGCACTTAAAGATCATCAGTGACACTGTTTGCAGCTTGGTCTAGTTCCAGTAGACTCTCACTTGCTAGGATCTTGATTGTGTACTCCTCTTTATATATCTTTCAGAGGCCTTGTGGCTTCTCTTCCAGTGGCCGGAGTAGTAGTGCTGCCCTGGTTTGGTCCTGTCTTGTTTGTACTCTTGCTGACTGGTCTTCGGACCCCTGTCTCAGAGGTTGGACTAGTAGTGCCACCCTCAGCTGTGTACTTCTTGCTCAGCACTACCCCTTATCTAGCCTAGGGGGTGTGTCAACTTATACATGCATTTGCATATACAGTATAAGTTATAGGCTAGAATAGGTGTGTGTTCTTAGAGAGTACAACCCAAACCCTATATCTCCCTTGTTCTCCCTTCTTTCCAATCATTCTAGTATTCTAACAGTAGGAACATGCTCTCAAGGGTATGAACTTGGTTCCAGGCCACGCCAAGATGGGCGTATGAATGGTAACGGTTATTTGATGTGGCTTGTGAGAACCATGTGCAGCCAAGGGAGGGACGTAATTCAGCTCACTTGAGAATCCCAGATGAATGATGTATGGGATGTTGGAAATGATAAAAGGACTTAAGGCATTTCCGAAGTCTTGCGTGAGTTTATGAAATACGTTAAGACTACAACAGCAAGGATTATCGAGTCAGCACCGCTACAGTAACCCTGACGATTCACACAGGTTGACGAAACCTCACCGAGGTTACGAAAGGGCAACTATCGCAGTTGTCATAAAGTCACCAAGCCTAACCACTGGGACAAGAAGGGATGTCATCAGGAGGGTTAGGCTCCATATATCCACCTTCTCCGAGGAAAGCCTCCCCAGTACCCTCCCTAGAGAGAGAGAGAGAGAGGATCTACAGGGTCATCCCAGTGCCACGACACACCCCCCCGCTGGGATAGCGTGCACATCAGGAATTGAACCCCGGATGGCTCTGATACCATGTCATGAAGTCACCAGTCCTAACCACTGGGACAAGAAGGGATGTCATCAGGAGGGTTAGGCTCCATATATCCACTTTCCTTGAAGAAAGCCTCCCCAGTACCCTCCCTAGAGAGAGAGAGAGAGAGAGAGAGAGAGAGAGAGAGAGAGAGAGAGAGAGAGAGAGAGAGAGAGAGAGAGAGAGAGAGAGAGAGAGAGGATCGACAGGTTTATCCCTGTGCCACGACAGCAGTGTCAAAGTATATATTTAAATATATATTTGTGTAGGCTTGGTAGTTGTGCTACTTACTGAATCCTACTGTAGAGGGGACACCCCCCACCCCCCCCTTCTTGTATCTCCTTCTCTTCTAGTCCATCTCCCTTTTCTCTCGCCAACTTCTCCTCCCTCTCGTAACTCTGCCCCCCTAGCTAAACCTCTCGCCATTTTCATGGCGTCTCACCTAGCTACCTTCTAGCAACCTCACTACCTATTTCGACACGCAGACTGTTGGCCGTGCAACCCAACAGTCACAAACACATCAGTCAAGAGTCAGCGCGACAGTAAGGACAAATAACCGTCCCGATATTACTGTACGGGTGGTTACCCGAGTTGCCTTTATCAAGTCGTAAAAGGGAATGTACCCCTCGAAGTGCAAAACAGTTAGACTCTTCATATTCTCTTGTGTTATTATATAAACCTTGTATCCATTTGCTATAATCAATCATTTGTCCTCATATACCAGTACAAGGGTTCAACTCAAGACTTCCGCTCTGCTATCAAGCACTCTGTTACAAGGTCTTAGCATTCTGAAAGATCCTAGGGCTATTATCAGCCCAACATGGGAGGCTTGGATTTCTGGATAGGAAAGAAGCAATGGTGCCCTTGTAATGGTAAAAGCTTTGTACCGTAATCACCCAGATAGACGCCCCTCCGTAGGATAAGTTCCATGGGCTTTATCTCGTGCTTTTGGCCTTATAGCTATTATTTGATTAAACGCCCCCCCTACTTTTCGAAAGTGTGTACCCTATACGCCCCTCTATTAGAGTGTGTTCTTCCCAGGCTCTTCCCAGGCTATCCTCTTCCCAAAATCGGCCACGCCTAAGAATGTATTCGAAGAACCGATTTTCCAGCTATTTCATTTTAGAATCGCGTTCTTCACCGCAATGAGTCAACTCTTGTCAAAATCGCACTGTACAGATTTGCGCGTGTCTAAAATTCTGGCGCCTGAAATGAGACTTGAAAACACGCCTAGAATCTTGACAAATCCAATCTCGTGTCACACCATGTGGAACTGCACTAAACTGTTTCGCGTCAAAATTACGCGACACTGTAGCGCGCGAGTCTGGGAAGAGGTTGGCTGGGAAGAGGCCGCAGGAACACGCTCTTATTTCGTAAAAAACTGTGCAAAAACGAAGGAACGAGTTCGGGTAATAACGAGCATTCTCGCTCTGTGCCAGCCAGAAGCGCAATTTGCGCCCTTCGACACTTCGCGCCAGCAGGATTTGCGTCAGAGTCGTTTGCTTCCAGCCTGGCACATTTTCGACTGGACTTTTAGCCCGATGGACTTGAGAACAGGGTTTCAGCTAGGATTTAGGGTTGTCTGAGGATCAGACGGGGTTTCAAAGTTTCGTCTGACCATCAGACAAAAATTTCTAAGGAGTCTGAGATTTCAGACGAAAAAATTATACTAGTCTTAAAATTCATACTAATTTTTTGCGCAAGAATTTTCGTCACTCGTAATTTCGACCTCGATTTGTTCGTTTCCTGCTTAGAGCATTTTCTTACGAACCTCTTCCCAGGCTACCCAATTCCTAGACTCGATCCTCGCCTGAGAGCGTGCTTGAAGGTTTTCTTGTCAAGGTCACTTCGTTTCAGAATCACATTCTCAACCGCTTTGATTCTGCTCGGGTCATAATGAAACTGTAGAGACCCGCGCCTCTCTGGAAAATGTGCGCTTGCGAAGTTTAAAACACGCCCTGAACCTCGTCAATCTAAACCACGCAAAAGAGTGCAAGAGTCATTGCACGGCACTGAAGCGTGTGATTCTGGGAACAGGCAGGCCTGTGAATTGGACGTAGGAAAACGCTCTAATTGGTTGAGGCTTGGATTCTGGCAGGAACACTCGCAGGCGGCGTGATGTGTCATGTGCAGGCAGCCCCCTCTATTTGCCCAGCAATTTCAAGATTCCTTCCACCCCGCCCCCAGACCAGTCGAGCGACGAAGCAGAAAAGACAGTGTGGAAGCTGGGTAGCAGGGACTTAGCCAAAAGACGTAGCAGAAAAGACAGTGTGGGGCACTTAGCTGGAAAACGATATTCTAGGGGTGTGGGGGGAATATGTCTGGAAGTCAAGAACTTAGCAAAAAAAAATCTTGGTTGTGGGGGAGGGAGGGGGAAGGGATGGGGGGATGAAGAGGAATGTCTCAGACTCTCAGACAAAAAAATACGCGCTATCTGAATTCGCAGACAAAAGTCTACACCTGGTCTGAACTTTCAGACGGAATCTTATTGCTCATCTGGAAGATCATACAAATTAATTTAGCCCGTAAAAAAACTGATGAAAGGAAAAATACAGGTCTGATTTTCAGACCATCAGACCGACTTCATCTGATATCAGAGACACTGCTTGAGAATCTTCGTTAGAAGTGATCCCATCGCATGAAACAAATCAAAAGCTACAATTTGATGTAGAAAAATCAATTTGCTTACTGTATATACCCTTTTGAACGCCCATGGGCGTCTATTATTTATTCAATTAAACGCCCCCCCCCCCGCCCCCCCCTGTTTTCAAACCAGTCCTATAAACGCCCGTAGGGACATCTATCCGGGTGATTACGGGTATAACATTGTAATTACCACGCATTGGAATCTCAAGGTAATGAAATCGAGAAGAATAGGGCATACAGGGTAGTCTTGTTTTAAGTTTTGTACTCTCTACGGTATGCTCCTAGCTAGCCTATAAACATATAGAAATATATATGTTGACATGCACCCTAGGCTAGACAAGGGGCAGTGCGTGGCAAGAGACACAAAGCTCAGGGTGGCACTACTAGTCCAGCCTATGAAGCAAGGGTCCAAAGACCAGTCAGCAAGGGTATAAACAAGACACGAGCAAACCAGAGCTGCACTACTAGTCCGGCCACTAGAACAGTAGCCACAAGGCCAATCAGGAGAATATACGTATAAAAGAGTAGTACAGAAGGCCCTAGCAAGTGAGGAGCTACAGGAACCAGAACAAGGTGTACACAGTGCCGCTGATGATCTTTAGGCGCAAGCGCCTTACTAAAGATATCAACTATGTTGGCACCGGAAGCGAAGTGTACTACGCGGGCCTGGCGGCGCTGATGTAGCTCGTGCAGGAGGAAGTACCGCATCTGGAAGTGCTTTGTTCTGCCCTCGAGTCGAGGCTCCTGACACAGGAGGATCATGGCCATGTTGTCAACGTACGGGACCGGGTCAGAGCTAGGCCGCTCATCTAAGTTTGTGAGCAAGAAAGTCGGCCAGCAGAGCTCCTGTGCCACAATGGCACCAGCGTAGATCTCAGCCTCAAAGCTAGACAGTGCAACAGACGACGAGCGGGTGGACCTCCAAGAGATGGCGCTTGCAACAAGGCTAAAGCAGTAGCCCTAGGAGGACCTGGAGCGTCTCAACGTCATCCGCCCACGAAGCGTCTGTGTGTCCAGTAAGGACCACTGGCCTGTATCCTCCCAGCACTAGCCCCATGCCTGATGTACTTGCTAGATAACGCAAAGCCCTCTTAGCGGGCCGACCAGTGCTGTGGTTTGTGTCTGCCAGTCACCACAAAGTGAGCCAGGATGGTGAGAGGGTATGCAAGATCTGGAAAAGTGCAAGTCATCAGGTACATGAGGCAACCTACCAGCTCAGCGTACAGACCACTAGGGTCTACCGACTCGTCAGGGACTGGAGTCGAGAGCCTGTGGTCTACTGTCAGGGGTGTGGGCTGTGCGGAGGAGAAGTGAAGATCGAACTTCTGAAGGACCTGGCACATCAAGTGTGACTGTGTGAGAGTGATGATGCGTGATGCTCTGTCCCAGGAGATCTGTAGGCCAAGGTAGCGGCGCAGCTCTCCTAGGTTAGTGCAGGTGTGCCTCCTTAGCAGCTCGGCCTTTACGGAGGCCAGTACGTCTCTGTCTATAGTAGCAAAGATCAAGTCATCTACGTAGACAAGGATGTAGAACACAGGTAGACCTGCTCGTGTAGACTACCCTGGAAGAAACGATGTCGAGAAGTCGAGAGAGTGCAGCTCGTAGTCACGTTGTGCTGCTACGTGTAGAAGCGGCCGAAGAGTAATCATGTTCGGGGTCGGGGCGAAGGTCTGGAAGAAGTCAACACCCTCACGATGACTGAAGCCTCTCGCAACATAGCGCGCCTTGAACACTAGTGGCACTTCAGGAGGGCGCTTCACCTTGAAGAGCCACCGGCCATCGACTATGTTCAACCCACGTGGGCGAGCTGCGTCGACGTAGGTGCCGGTGGATCTCCAAGATGCCAGCTCCGCGTCCAGGGTAGCTATCCATCTGGAGGCCCAGAGTTCCGAGGTCGCCTCAGTGTAAGTGCGAGGGGTCGAGATGTCGAAGGCATCTGGGTCACCGTCAAGGACTATCAGCATGGAGCAGAGATGAGGCGCGGCCTTCGACAGGAAAGCAAGCTCATACTGTTGGTCATACAGGAGACTACGATGTCACTGCCAAGGGCAGGAGCACCCCCGACGGACGGAGGACGCGCAGGTCAGACACCATAGTGGTGGCGTAGTCAAGGCGGTGGGTAGAGGCAAAGTCAGCAACGGCAACGACAAGAGCATTAAGACTAGAGACATGAACAGACGGGTCCAGTAACGAGGGAGGCAAGGGCCCAAGGAACAATAGGGCTAGCAGAACGGAGGAATTCAGGCAGAGGAGGCGGAGCGACAACAAGTGACGACGAAGGAGAAGGGAGGAGGGGAGGACGATACGTGGTTGGAACGGAGCAACATAGGGTGAGAACGCTGAACAGGAGAGACAGGACGAGCACAAGAGGGACGGTGAGACGAGAAGTGGGACGGAGGCGTCAGGTAAGGAGACATAGGAGGAAACACATAAGGAGAACTAGGGGGAAAACGAGCTGGAGACGAGTCCGGCGGAGGAAACACAGGGTCGTAGACATGTAGGGGAGGTGGCGGAGGAGGAGGCGCAGGCGGGCGTTTCGGGGGAAGGAAGACCAAGGAGGCGA